AGAGTCCAGGTGTAAATGGGTGTAGGCTGATTTGAGTCAAGGTGTTTACCGGTATAAGACATATCCGTTGGTGTACCGGGATAGGCAAAGTATGTAGCTTTGTTTATTTGCCTCAAGGATCGTCTGCCAATTTCTTCTTCTGTTCCCTCCTCTATTCCCTATTCTTATTTTTTTTGGTTCCTTCTCCTCCCCTCATTCCTTCTCCATATTTTCCTTCTTCATCTTTTCTTTCTTCTCTCATTCCTCTCCTTCTCCCCCTCCCCCTCCTCCTGCTTCTTCTTCTTCTTTTTCTCTTTTTATCTCTTTTTTCTACCTTCTCCTCTTCCTTCCTCTTTCTTTTTTTCTTTTTCACGTTTTCCTTCTCTCCGTCTTCCTCTTCTTCTTCTTTCTTAATCTTTTTTCTTCCTCTCTTTTCCACCTGTTTCTCCTCCTCTTCCTTGTACTTCTTCATTCACCAGAATAATGGACTGTTAAAAAAAAGGAAAAAAAATCATTTAGCTGAGTCTGTGTCCTTGATATAACGGCTTTTAACACTACATCGTCGGCCTTTACAAACTTGGCGGTGTGTTGAAGCCAAAATATTTTTTCGTCGCATCAACCAATGAAATACAGAGCGGAGTACGATCATTGCTATTATTACTGAGATTTTATCTTTCATTCACAGGTAAAGGAGCGATCACAGTTTGAGCCTCCGTCTGGTGTTGTTCGGGTAATGTGAAGTTGTTGTTGTGTTTGATGTTGATAATGTACGTTTGATTTTTTTTTTTTTTTTTTTTTTTTTTTTTTTGGTTTTGGTTTTGTTTTTGTTTTGTTTTGTAATAGATGTGCATTTTATTTTCATGTATGTGCATCTACACATGCACGTGAGCAAAGACATACGGTTATACGGACACATGTACAAATACACACGGATACACATATACACCTACACGCACACACACACGCACGCACACACATACGCACACACACATACACACACACATACACACACACAACACACACACACACACACACACACACACACACACACACCACACACACACACACACACACACACACACACACACACACACACACACACACACACACACACAACACACACACACACACACACACACACAAACACACACACACACAACACACACACACACACACACAACACACACACACTCACAAACACAACAACACACAACACACACACACACACACACACACACACACACACACACGCACGCACACACTTACCTCCCCCTCTTTTGTCTCTAGGCGGATTATGGATTTGTCTGTCAAATGCCGTCGCCGTGAAATATCGTCGCGCTTCGGCTCTCTGGGCCACAAATCACGATTCCTTTTTGATTTGTTGATTTCAGTTCTATTCCTATGGGTTTTTTTTGTTTTTTTTGTAGATTTTATGGTTGTATTGTTTTTTCTTTTTTTCTTTCTTATTTTTCTTTTCTTTTCTTTCCTTTCTTGTTTTTTCTTTTTTTTTCTTCTTTTTTCTTTCTTTTTTCTTTCTTCCCCTTCTTTCTTTCTCTCTTTCTTTTTGTTTTTTTTATTCTCATTATTGATATCCTTGTCCGTAGCGTTCTTGATTTCTCTCTTCTCTCTCTCTCTCTCTCTCTCTCTCTCTCTCTCTCTCTCTCTTCTCTCTCTCTCTCTCTCTCTCTCTCTCTCTCTCTCTCTCTCTTCTCTCTCTCTCTCTCTCTCTCACTCACTCTCTCACTCACTCACTCACATTCTCTCTCTCCTCTCTCTCTTCTCTCTCTCTCTCTCCTCTCTAGAATGTTCTATTGACACTGTCGTTATTGGGGAGAATGCTTCTTCCATTTCATTTCCATTTGGTTTTCGATTTTTTTTTATTCATCTTCTCGTTCTCTCATTCCGTTTGTTCATTTCACTGGCATTATCTTCCTTCCTATTTCCTCCATTCGCTTCACCTTTTATTTTCTTTCCCTCCCTTTCCCCACTCTTTACTTCTTTTACTTCATCCATATTTGACTTATCAATCTATATCAAGTCGTTATTGTATTTTCTCCCTCACTCACTTCTTCAATCTGTCCCTTCCCTTCTTTCTTTCTCTTCCTCTTTTAATGCATTCTCTCCGCCCTCTTTTGTCCCTCTCCCTTTTCTCTTCCCTCTCTCTCCTCTCACTCTCCTTCTTCCTCCCTCCTGCCTACTACCTTCTCCCTCTCCCTCTTCTCTTCTCTCCTCCTTTCTCCATCTCCGTCTCACTCTCCCTTTACTCTTTTTTTTCTCCTTCATATTCCCTCCTTCAGTTTCCTTAAACCTCTCTTTCTCTCCTCTTGCTCCTTTTCCCCGCTCTCCTCCCCTCCCCCTTCTTCATCTCCTGACTCCCTATCTCTCTCTCTCTCTCTCTCTCTTCTTCTCGCTCTCATCACTCTCTCTCTCTCTCTTCTCTCTCTCTCTCTCTCTCTCTCTCTCTCTCTCTCTCTCTCTCTCTCTCTCTCTCTCTCTCTCTCTCTCTCTCTCTCTCTCTTCTCTCTCTCTCTCTCTCTCTCTCTCTCCCTCTCCTCTCCCTCTCTCCCTCTCTCCCTCTTTTTCCCTCTCCCTTTCCCTCTCTGTCTCCCTCTCCCTTTCCCTCTCTCTCTCTCTCCCTCTCCCTTCCCCCCCCCCCCAACCGTTGTTCTCCTGTGGCAGCGTTCTCTGTAACGTTACTTTCTGGCATTCTCTTCTCATTGGCACCGGGTTCTCGCTTCCTCTGGCACCGCTTTCTGTCTGGCAAGATGTTCGCTCTCTATATCGGTGTTCTGTTCTCTCCGCTCTCTCCCGTGTTTTTTTTCCGTTCTTTTTTTTTTATTTTTTTTTTACCTTTCTCTCTTCGCGCTCCGTCCCTAGGGCCACTCTCTCTCTCTCTGTCTCTCGTTCTTTCGTTCTCTCTCTCTCTTTCATTGTTAATTTTGTTGTTGCTATCATTGTTGTTGATGTTTTTGATGTCAGTGTTATTATTATCATTATCATCATTATTATTACTATTATCATCATTGTTATTACCATTATCACTGTTATGATAATCATTGTTATCATCATCATTATAATTATTTTTCATGACCGAATATCTTTATTATTATTGTAACTGTAGATGTTCTTGTTCTTATACTTGTCTTTCGTTTTATGGAATTATTAGTTGTTCTATTGATATTATTTTTATTATTATAAAAATATTTTTTGATCAGCCTGATCATTATCATTTTAATAATGTCAAATACATTCATATTATCAGTATTATTAATATTTACAGCATAGCGTTATCATCATAATTACTATCATTGTCAGTATCATTTCAGCTTCTTGGTTCTTTATGTCATGATTATTTTTGTTATCACCACCATTAAGATTATTATTATAGTTGATGTTATTGATGTTAAACTTGTATCAGAAAGATTATTAGTAGCATCGGTGATCCTTCCATTGCGATTCCTTTAACTTAATTAGTATTAGATTTGTACTGATCTTCGAAACCCAATAGATTGTCTCTTTCCTAGTACCACGTTTACTGTTATTACTATTATTATATTTTTGTTGTTTTTATCAGTGTTCTTTTCAGTTTTTTTTTTTTTTTTTTTTCTTTTTTTTCTTATTTTTTCTCGTTTTAACTTCGTTTCGCGGGAATTACTACCATCGCTGTCACCGTTTTTTTTTTTTTTTTTTTTCAAAATGACAGTTTCCGCTACATTATATCACTTTGAAATATCTTTAAAGTTATAGTCATTGGCGTCAGCAATATAATTAGTATTTAGGAATGTTAACTGTATTCGTAGTATCTGTTCATCCTATGTGTATTTCTATCTCTGTCTCTCTCTCTGTCTCTCTCTCTCTCTCTCTCTCTCTCTCTCTCTCTCTCTCCTCTCTCTCTCTCTCTCTCTCTCTCTCTCTCTCTCTCTCTCTCTCTCTCTCTCTCTCTCTCTCTCTCTCTCTCTCTCTCTCTCTCTCTCTCTCTCTCTCTCTCTCTCTCTCTCTCTCTCTCTCTTTCTCTCTCTTCTCTCCTCTCTCTCTCTCTCTCTTTCTCCTCTTTCTCTCTTTCTCTCTCTTTCCCTCTCTCTCTTTCTCTCTCTTTCTCTCGCTCACTCTCTCTCTCCGTTTACTTATATCCGTATTATGCGAACCGCATGTTTCCCAGAGTGTGCATGTTCTTGGTATTGACATTTCATTTAGTTGCCATCTGTTATTTTGAGAACGCTCGTACCGATTTGTAATTTCGAAAACGAATTTTAACGTTTCGGATTTTTAGGGGTATGAAATTCTAAACATTAGGTCAAATATGTTTCATAAGTTTTTTTTCTGTTGTTATTAGAAAAGTTGCAGGCAATATACATATATATATATATTTTTTTTTTTACATAGTACAGGTTATTTGACAGGTTTTCATTCACTTTTTGCCGCGTGTAGGAAAGGGAGGAAGAATGGATTGGTAAAATTAATAAAGATAAAATGTAGGCAGTTTTCAGACAAAATTGGCGGGAAATATTATTGCCAGATTTTGCAAGTGGGCTCGATGTTTTAGTGTCAACGTTCATACGATGTTAGAGTGACGGCAATAAGATAGAAATGGCAGAAAAGAATAAGATTATTTTGTGACTGGCCTCAGTTAAGTTCTGTCTGGTGTCTATGATTTCTAAAAATATCTTCCAAGGATAAGTGTAGAAAATATCTTTCCCTTGAAGATATTCCGCTAGCAAGCTAAGCCATATACCAGTTCACACTAAATTAAAGAATCGACTTTAGTTTGCATGAAATACAATATCGAAATAATTTGTTTCAGTCTACGAATGTGTTATAAAATCATCAACTTGGAATGCAAATATTCCCAAACATGGCGGTATCCGTATCCTTGCACGACTCCCGTACTGCGTTGTATTTCCTAACCTGTTTAGCCTCTTTTGATCCGGGAAAACAAACGTTAAGAGTGCCATTAGACAGGAAACTTATTTAGCACCTTTAAGCTCGTGTGCGCTGGGAAATCGACCTAGATAGACCGGACATCTGATCTTCTTGGGTCGCGTCCGATTCCTGGAAGACGGACGCGCGAGAGCCGGCCATTCCGAAGTCGGTGCCGACGGCCGGACGAATCAGCGACGTAGTTCACCGTGTCACAGAAACCGCGACGGGAGCTGTTGCTGTTTGATCCGGGAGATGAGTTCGTGGCAGGGATTGCTTTAGGGGATGCCTGAGAGAAGGAAATGCAGGGGGGGAAGGAGAGTGAGGGAGATGGAGAAGGGAGGAGGGGGGAGAAGGAGAGGAAGGGAGGGAGAGAGGAGAAAGGAAGAGAGAGGAGAGAGAGAGATGAAGATGAGAAGATAAGAATAGACAAGAGGGGGAGGCAGGGAGTTTTAGATATGAAGATGAGAAGATAAAGATATTTTAGTTCAAAACGAAGTATGTAAAAATGTACTTTTACGCACCATTTGCGTAACACGCAAGATAGTTCCACATAACTCTCTCTCTCTCTCTCTCTCTCTCTCTCTCTCTCTCTCTCTCTCTCTCTCTCTCTCTCTCTCTCTCTCTCTCTCTCTCTCTCTCTCTCTCTCTCTCTCTCTCTCTCACTCTCCTCACTCACTCTCTCACTCACTCACTCACTCACTCACTCACTCTTCTCTCTCTCTCATTCTCTTCCTCTTCCAACTTAGTCTTCATTCTTGTGTCATCTCTCAGCATCCGTGCTAAGGTTAGGGCTTCGAAGAACACCAGGTGTTTTCAGTTTTTTT